CAGCGGCGGCCGCGGCGGCCGCCGCACCGGATACAGACACCACCGCACCCCCGCCGGCACCCGGTAGGGACGTGGGCGAGAACATATTCGACATGCTCGAGAGCGAGCCGATGCTGGGTAGGCCGCCGTTCCCCGGCACCGCGCCGTTCCCGGTCTCGACCTTGAGGCACTTGCTGGGGGGCGCGAACGCGGACGGCACCAAGGGCCGAAAGCCGCCGAAGGGCAGTCTATGATCGAGCGGATGCAGGAATTGCGGCGGCAAATGCAGCATGTGATGCAGCCCGTAGCCCAGCGATGCCGCCGTGCTGAAGGGCACCTGCAGATCTTTCGAATCGGTCACCTGGAACAAAGTAAAAGGGATTGATAAAAGATGATCCAGCGGAATGATTCTTCCGGAGCCTCGTAAATATGGTGCTTCGATATTAATACAGAGTTCTAGTTTTTACATCAACATCGTGAAACATCATAAAAGCGTTGTAAGGATTAGTAAAATAAAAATGTAATATATTTTATAAAAAGTTTGTTCTTACAGTTAGTTCACAGCCATCGTTACTACAGTTGTTAATTAGTTAGTTAAGCGAAGATATTATATGTGTATCAAAATTATAAGAATATAGGAAAGAAAGGAAAAAGGGAGAAAGAGATGCAAAATTTATCAATATAAATCATATATTTATGGTTTGCAAATTATGTTATTATGTAATTATAAGAAAAGAACAAGTGAGAGATATTCTTGAAATTTGAGTCTTCTGTAAATATTTCGTCTAGAGATATTTTCAATATTTATATAATAGATATGTTTAAATATTACAATGTTGCAAATAACTTTATTTAATGAAATAGACTTTTCATATTTTTTTATTTCGCTATAAAATTTTACGATCAATTTTTTTTTTTTTTTTTTTTTTTTTTTACATTCGGTTACAAGTCTCGTATGCCTTTAACCTCTGATTTCCTATTAATTTTAGCGACGTTTATAAAAGGAATCCTGACGTTTACTCCCGTATCGAGAAACCGCCCTTCGCGTATCATCAAATTCGATAGAATAACTTTATTTCACGTATACGCGACGAGCGAAAAAAGCTTGAATCGCGTAATTCGATAGCTCATTTGCAGCATGAGGGTATTTCCGCGCTTTCAGCTACGTCTGAATGGCATATAATATCAAAGCAGCATGGTGGTATACTGTTAATAACGCGAAACCACTGTGTTATAATAATCCGTCAAAACCTGAAGCTCTTCTCCCCCATGGTCCCCTACCACCCCCCTCCCCCTCCGTGTACCGGTTGTATCATTCAATTCGCCGTGATTGACGAGTCTATTAAGCCGCATACTGAATGCTCGGCTGAAGCATCTACGCGTTGGATTTTGTAACATTTATAATGCCAGAATTATCGGATCGTATTAAACGTGGCCAAGTAATAACGGTGCATTGTATTTCCTACGCCTAGACTCGTCGAAAAATGTAATGACGCGAGTAACAGGCGAGTATTTCAACGTGTAATTACGTACAAGTACTTCGTGCGACGTCGTATTTCAATATTTCAACATTCCAAAAGTTATTTCTTTAATTTGTTAATAAATAAAAGGAAAACATTATTGTTATATATTTGTAGTAAGTCTTGTAACAGTCCGAGATTTGATTTTGAAAAAAATTATACACTGATATTTCAGGGAACTAAAGCGATTTTCTTTTCACTTAAATTTGCAACAATACAGTGTCGACTTTTCTTTCGAACAACACAAATTGAGATATTGTTGTGATAATTAAGTAATAGTTAATATAGAAATGTTATATATATATATGGCTCAATATCAAATTCATCTTGAATTATAAAAGCGCAAAGTGTTACTCGTCAATCGTCATCCCACGTGACTAAGAGGAGCGGAAGTACGAAATGATTTCATCGGCGAGAACGGACAGCTGGTTTCCGGATAAACATTTCATTCGGCCGATAATGACGCGGGCGATGAGTTACACGCGCGGGTATTAGTACGCCGCGATTAGTTTATTATTCTTTTATACAGGGAAATGAGGTTCGCGTCCGCCGGCTCGCATATTTGCGCCCGCGGTCCAATCAGTGATTTATTAGGTATTCATTATTATTTTAATTGCGGCCCCGGTCCTTTTTTTCGCGATCGGTGTCGCGCGACGCGCGTCGCTTGCATATTTGCAATAATCTTTTATTTTTTTTTTTTTTTCCTCCCGGCTCGCTATCGCGGGCGGTAAAACGCGAGCGTATTTTGTCACCGCGCCATCACAATTAGGTTCGCCCAGAAATTATCTCATTTTTTAACGATGCTGAATTTTGATGCGACCCATTCTCTCGCTGTCTCCCTCATTCCATCACTATCTGTATCTACCGTTCCGCATCTGCACGCGTTATCCAGACCCGATTGATGTCCCGCACGTATGAAAAATATTCAAGCATTTAAAAACGCTGTGGAATACGCTTATAATTAACCGCGATGCTCGTTCGTTAAATATTTGCGGCAATCACAGTTATGAGATAAAAATGTATGCGATATAAAATTGTATTTAAAAGAGTCTTGTTATTATCGGAAGTTTAATAATGGTATTTTTGGTAATTCGTTATCAATATACGCGCGCGTTTTCATTACACCGCATAAAATTTGAAAAACTGTAAGAAAATTACATAAGTCGATGTCACATTTTAATGTAATAAAATCAATATTGTGTATAATTTAAGAATTGATTCTCTTTCTCGATAATTCGCAGCTGCTCCATAAACATAATACTTATATAACTAATAATACTTATATAAATTCCAGATGTCACAGATCGTTGATCGTCGATCGTGAAAATACTTACGATTTCACTGGTTTTACTTCTCTCTTTTTTATTAACGCTTACATTCTATATGTCAATGATGCACAATCTACGTGTTTCTCTCCATTTCTACGCTCTAATTTGTACACTTCTATATTTAATAGTATAAAAACAACCGCTTGACGCGCTATAATTTTTATTTACATTTATATTTCTTAATTATACTCTCTCCATTTTATAATGATCGTCGGTAAACGGGCATTACCTGGAACAAGGCAACAATTGGTCCGATGGAAGAAAGTTGCGCATCATTGACTTGATACTAACTGTTATTTGAGCATTCACATTTATACACACGCATACAATCAAATTTCTATTCATCGCGTGCATTAATTAGTACTCCCGTATATAAAGCGGCATAGATATGCAAAGCGAGATGGAAGTAACTCGAGCAGTCCGACGGGCTCAATGAAATCAATGCCAACAATTATTTTTTTTTGTTTTTTTTTTTTGTTCATTTTGTACATATTTCAAGTTACTTTTCTGCCAAATAGTGACGTATGTTACCGTCAAATATGATACGCTCGAATTACCGCAGTGCAGTTTCGTTCTACGTGATGCAAGCGTGAAAGTGATTTAACCCTCCAATATAGTTCTCCAATAGATCTTACTCTTTCGTCGATTTCAATAGTTAAAAAAAAAAATCACACAAATATAAATTTTACACAATTACGCAACATCTAACTGTACGCAATTCACGATACGTAAAGATATATCAGAGTCCAATAAAAATTAAAATAATATGTCTCGAGTAATCAAGTTTACATACATTTATATAATCACATTTTCTTCTTTATAAAAAAAACCTGAGAATTTTAGAACAGAAGAAAATCGAAATCTTGTTTTATCAGAGAGACGAAGGGTTAAAATACGTTTTTAACGCGTTGCAGGTAAGCGAAACGCAGCGCAATCGCGTAAATGCAAGCTGATGCAAAGGCTTATAGGCGTAAGGGTAAGGACAATGGGACACTAACTTGTGGATTGAATGGTCTTTGCATTCTCAAGGCCTCAGGCAGCCCTCCGGCCTGCGAGAACACGACCAAAGACGGCGGCGGTAGGTGATTCGGTACGTACGTAGAATTATCCATCTAAAACATATACGTCGTTTTCTTCCTTCCAACCTGCCTGGTCGATTCATCGTTTTTCTATTCTAAATACGTTCGGTAACGCAAGACTCGAAGAGAATTTCGCGTAAACTCGGAATTTCGGAAACGCGACCGCGATGATCGGATATACCTTATCGATTGCGTTTATATTGGCTAATCAATTATTAATTGTTAATTAAATTTATGAATTAATCTAACCTTTACAATTGTCATAGCTATGATGATAATGAATAGACTATCGTTACGCGCGATTTACGCTTATTTCTCGATCGATGAATTTTTAATTTCATTTTTCATTTTTTTCTTTTAATGTACAACATTCTTCTATAAATTTCGTAAAAGAGCACATGGTTTTCTCAAAGCTTTCTCAAAGAAGATACAATCCAATAAGAAATTATTTTAGGCACTCGATGTCTTGATAATTGTTAAATTATTTTTTTCTAACAGGCTGTCAAAAATTGACAATTTATTTTTTCAATAAATCATTAATAAGAAAATTATTAATAATAATCTATAAAAACTGTGTAAAATTGTGTATTAAAATTTACACGTGATAATATTAAAAAACGCTTAGATTCAAAGAATGCATATGATGAATTAAAAATGGTACGTACATTCTGAACTTTTCTTTTGTTAATTTCCATTCCTGATTTTTTTCACGTATTTTGCCTTTAAAATTGCAATTCAAACAATTCTGATTTTACAATTTAAGAATGCGCAAAATTGGATATAAGAGGTCATCGATCGAAAAGTGAGTTCAATAAATTAGCTCGGCTCGTCAATGAGGATTACGTCGTGGCGCATTAATTACATCGAGAATTATGTCGTGTTTCCTATCGGAATGAAATTGTAATTTTATCAATTTCATATTAGCACTTCTCTCACAAAACAGTTTAATTAATTATGGAATAGTCAGATAAGAGTCCAGCAACCAACAGCATTCTCTATCATGTTGAAAAGTGTACAATTTGTGATAATTATATCATTATTTTTTCAATTTATTACATTTATTATTTTTGAAATAGTTCTATAATATTAGAACAATTGCCAATTATTATAGAATTCACATATCATAAAATTATACTCTGAGATAGAAAGATCTTGTTGAAATCTAATGAAAGAATCTCCAATTCGTTCATGCTTTTAGTTATTGTAGCTAAATTATCAATTCTCAGAATATCTGACTTCAAACTCTTGATTACAATATGTAATTTAAATTGAGTATTTTAGAGCATTTAAATTCTTAAATTATTATGTTAAAATCTAAATTTATTTAGCTATATGTGAACACGCTTCTATAAAATGACAAACATGCCATTTAAAGTAGTAAATGGACAATGCTTAAAAAAATCAGGTCATGTGAAATGAAATATTTAATAATCTTAAATGTTGTGACAGTTGTTGCAATTGTCCCTTAAAAATGAATAAATACGAGCAAATCTGCTCATAACTCACTCGATATTTTCTTCCACAAAACGCGATTTAATAGAATACATCAGCATGTCGTGGCACGAGATCGCGGTATACCGCGTGTATCATTAATTATCGTGATTGTCAATTAATCACCGGTGTTGGATCGGGTGTCGATCTGCCGACAATTTCTGCTACTTCTAACCTTTCAACCTGAAAGCTATCGAATTCGATCCGCGAGTAATTGCGTCGATCGATGCCAGATCGGCTTCGCTTTCGCGACAACGATTGAACGATACTCGCGCTCGATAGAAAATCACGTGCGAAAAATATTAGTGGTAATGAAAAATGATGAATATTTCGAAAAGAGAGTTCATATAAAATCCCATTTTTAGAAATAGCAATCAAATTGAAAGCTTGATGTGCACAATTTCATGAACAATTGACAAAAGCCTATAAGGCTCTAATTGCTGTTTCTATCAATTAATTTTTATTTTAAAATCACAATCAAAAATTAAAAATAATAAATTATCCAAATCAAGAATAACAAAAAAATTTAAGAAATTAAGTATCAAATAATTACTTTCGTGCATTTTTCTGCATCGCTCAAATATTGCAAATAATTCTCTAAATTGCTTAATAATGTAAAGATAAAAGAAAAAAGGATTAATTACAATCAATATGATATAATAATCGTAATTGACTTTATCAGTCTATTAGCAATTTATGATCAAAATATTAAAGCCTTTAAATGTATATAATGAGGCTCGAAAGAATTTATCAGTGAAAAATCCCATCAGAGCCTACATCAGATATTCGAATGGACAAAAATTCTTTATTTTTCGTGTGAATGTAACAAAACAAATAAAATATACGTTTCAACCCATCAGTTCAGATCCTTATCAATATAAAATATAAATCGAAATTACATAAATAATTTCAAGTTGATGATTCCAATGACAAATTAGTTCGTTCTTCTTTATGCCAAATTAGCTATATAATGAATAGCCCAAAATTATTACGTTATACGATAATAATATAAATACTTACGTAAAGTAAAACCGAATTCATATGCATTGCGTCACTACGTAGAATCACATCGCCTCATCAGATTGTCAGATTTGCTGTGTAGTCATTCAAAAGAAACACGAAACTTAGAGAATTATTAAAATCATTTGTCTGAATTTTCTATTATATCCACTTACATGTAAGCGTTTTCTCGCGGCTTCACGTAAAGGACTTGTGGTGTCGACAATCAGAGATACAATGAGAGTCAAAATAATAAATTCAAATAGTTATTGAAATAAAAATAAAACTAAGAATAAAAGAAAATAATATCAACGTCACAATTCAGTAGACGAATTCATGTAGAATAGGTCCAAAAAATACGTATCTCTCATTCTGTAAACTCAAACTCTGTTTCTGTTGCTTTATATGGATCGCTTCCGAAATCAATCTCTTATTATCATTTAGTACGCATAAATGAACATAAAAATCACATAAATTGGAACACTACACAGCATTCCGTAATAACAGAACACAAAATCAGTCATCAGCATGATTTTAATTGGGAAAATCAAGATATTAGACGAAGAAAAAGTTCTTAATAAAAGATTGATTTCGGAAGCGATTCATATAAAGCAACAAAAACAGAGTTTGAATTTACAGAATGATACGTATTCTTTGAACACACTATACATGAATTTGTTTACTAAATTGTGACGTTAATATTAATCTTTTGTTCTTAGTTTTATTTTTATTTCAATAACTATTTAACTTTATTATTTTGACTCTCATTGTATCTCTGATTGTCGACACCACAAGTCCTTTACGTGAAGCCGCGAGAAAACGCTTACATGAAAGCGGATATAATAGAAAATTCAGACAAATGATTTTAATAATTCTCTAATTTTCGTTTCGTGTTTCTTTTGAATGACTACACAGCAAATCTGATAATCTGATGAGCAATGTGATTTTAC